TTCCTGCTCACCTCTTCCCCTACCCTCCTGCTTCCTTCCTCTACCCTCTGGACTAGGATGTCTCACCCTATTTTCCCCATTGCACTGCAGTATCTGATTGTTTTATTGACAACACAGAGAAAAAATGGTGGCATGTTTACACAAACCTGAGAGAGGTGAGCAGGAAAGAAGTTAGAACCACATGGAGAGATGAACTGGACCTCAAATATGACTAAAATAAGTATAATGGGTAAAATCTGAGTGGTAAGATGCTATGCAGGTTTGGAGATTTAGGATGGAGTACCATTGTCCAACATTGTGTGTTAGGTTAATTAGATAAATCTTAGTCTCTATGTGGTGATTTGGGTATACAGAAGGTTTAGCAATAACCACTGCTTAACCAAAATACATATCAATATGAAATATTAAATACCTACAACACATAGCTATGAGTGGTTATGCACACACTGGAGGATTGTGCATACACATAAAACCAGCTCTTACAACAGAGACTTCTCCTGATATGACCAAGACAATTAGGGAGCACCTGAGCTTCCAGTCCCAGCTGGAAGCACAAAGTTTTGGTTTTGGGTGTTCCCTCTTATTTAATTAGTATCTATGATGCTCAAATCTTCAAAAACATCTGAATGACAATGAGTAATGAAAACTCAGTTCCTGCTTTTGAAGGACTTTGGGAACCAAGGCTGAGAAGCAGCAGAAAAAAAACAAACCTTTGAGAACTGTCAACACCTTGGACCACAACACTGCACAATCCTATACTGAATGTGTTTAGGGGAGTCAGGGTGTTTGAAAGCAGAAATGCAAAGTAGTCTAAAGACTACCTATTTACAGTATTGACTTCTTTTCTCTATCCCACTGACAAAGTAAAGAAAAGGTGATATATTATCACTCTATTTCTTTAGTTTTAACACAGAGAAAGACACTAGGAATTTAAATTTGCCAAATATGAGTTCATGTAAAATATCTTCATGGTTAAGTACAATAAGACTTACCACATTTGTTGTTCCAGTAGTGAAAGGTCCTTTGTTATCTAGACAACTCTGATGTTCTGATTGTCTGGGTATCACAAAGTTCCCTCCTGTCAACAGATTAAAAAGCTTTTAGGAAAGGAGATCTTTGCTTCTCTATGAATTAATGTTAATGTACATTAAACTATATTTAACTTGTTGCAGTAATGACAACAATAGCCATGAAAATACAGTTTTTTTTTTCATCCTGCTATTCATTGACTGAGGCAGGATGGTAATCACAACCTCCATTGCAGAATGAACACTTAAAAACAATTTTAATTAAAAAAAATCAGGACTAAGTCATTGCTTTTTAAGATAAGGATTTACAATGAAGTTGAGTTCAAGACGGCAGCAGCTGCATGCATCCTAAGGACTTTGGAGCAGCTATAAGAAGCCTAAGAGACCCATGAAGGCTCAGAGTAGATACACTGCAACAGATCACAAGTCTACAGAGAGTACACTATCTTCAGAACAACTAAAAATGCCACGTCTTTGGGAAACATGTTTTAAAAAAGTGATCTCATGAAAATGGAGAAAATAAAGATGGCTGAGCAGAGGGGCAAAGAAAAGTGAAACTAGCCACAGCACTGATGGATAAGGGTTCATTTTCTGGAAAGGGCCTCCTCAAAGACCTCCACTATCAGTGTTGTAGCTAGAGGCCATGGTGGTGTCCATGGTCATTGTCTCTTCCAGAAAACATGAGGCAGTGCATGTTCTCTTAGCCTCCACACCAAAAGGAAGATACAGTCTAGGCAGGATGCCATGAGAGAGTTCTTAAAAACTGTGATCAAGTGAGTATATAGCATATGTGTCCTTCTGGGTTTTCTCACTCAGGATGATCTTTTCTAGTTCCCACCATTTGCCTGCAAATTTCATGATTACCTTCTTTTTAATTGCTGAGCTATTCCATTGTGTAAATGCACTACACTTTTTGTATCCATTCCTCCACTGAGGAACATGTAGGTTGTTTCCAGATTCTGGCCATTACAAATAAAGCTTCTATGAACATAGTTGAGCAAATGCCCTTATTGAATGGTGGGTCAAGTTTGGGGTAGTGGATATTTGCCACATAATATAGGATAAAAATATTAAAAATGTATAGTCCTAAAAAAAAGCTAAACAATAAGGAGGCCCTTAGGGAAGATGTTTAATTCTCATTCAAAAGGAAAAAAAAATGATAGATATCTGAAGTAGGAGAAGACAAGAAAAGGACAGAGGCCTTGCAGGACAGAGAACAGACCTCTGAAAGATCCTACCCACCAGGGCATCGAAGCAGATGCTGAGACTCATAGCCAAACTTGGGGCAGAGTGCAGGAATCCTTATGGAAGAAGAGGGAGTTAGAAAGACCTGGAGGAGACTAGAACTCCACAAGGAGAACAACAGAGGCAAAATACCTGAGCCCAGTGGGGTATTCAGAGACCAGTTCTCCAAACAAGGATCATGCAAGGAGAGAACCTAGACCCCCAGTCCAAAGGAAGCCCATAGGCTTGCTCAGTTTCCAGGTGGGTTCCCTACTAAAGAGTAGTGGAGGGTCTCTGATATGATCTCAGAAAGTTGCTTTCTGATCATCTACCCTGGGGAGGTGCAGCCATGCCAGGCCACAGAGAAACATGATGCAGCCAGCCTTGATGAGAACTGATAAGCTAGGGTCAGATGGAAGGGAAAGAGTTCTTCCCTATAGGGGAATGGGGAAGGGGTATAGAAGTAGATGAGGGAGAGTGGGTGGGAGTGGGAGAAGAGGAAGGGGGCTTCAGAAAGGATACAAAGTAAATAAATTGTAATCAATCAAACAATTAATCAATAAGAAAAATTGTGATCAAGGTGATAAAGTATAGAGCTCTTCAGGATTGGTGGCTTCTGCTTAGAGGTGGGGCCAGGATGGGGCAAGGATGAACTCAATTCTCTTTAAGGGCCTTGACACTCAGAGTTTGACCATGTTCCAATGAGAACAACATGTATTTCAATTGATGTATCTTTTTTAATTTATTTTGAGTGTGACACATGGGTAGGAATGTGAACCTGGGAGCAATGGAAAAGGAGTGTAATGTAGATTGTATAAAATTCCCACATAATCAATAAAAAAAATATATTGACATTTTTTACAACCACTTTTAATGTGAAGAAAGGATTCCTTTAAAGTAAGGCAGACGTTTACTTTTAAGCCATGCTTTCCAGGTTCTCATTATGGAGTAGAGAATTCTAGCCATGAACTAGTGGTTACCCAGCTACCTCAGACCACCATGAGCTCAGGTGGCATCTCTGAACAAGCAGTCATGGCACTAACACTATTTTTAGAGAGTGTGTCTGGAGGACCAGAGCAGGAAACACAGCTGCTCTCGTGTCCTAGACATGTAACACACACCCATTTCTCTGTCCTGAAGGCCTAGTTTTAACTGTAAACCCCAGGACCAGGAGGGTTGCTCATTGACCACTGAGTAGGACAAAGCTGCCTATCCAGCCAGGTCAGCCAAGGCAACTCTGCACATAGAGGGTTGGCAGCACTAGTGAGGAACATCACCAGTTGTCAGAAAGTATCCTGCCCCTCAGTTCTCCTTTTACATACACCTCTCTCTCCCTTTCTCTATCTCTTTTTCTCTCTCTGTTTCAGCCAAACCAGTCCCAGGAATTCTGTGGTTTCCTTCATTCTTCCATGATCTTAAAGACGCAATACTCCAGGGAATCCTAGACCCTGCCAGCCTATTATAATAAAAAAGAATGTGAAGGTTCATTTATTGAGTATGTGAGTAATTGCTCAGTTGAAAGTCACAACCCTAAGGAATTTCAGATCTAAAATCACAGTAGGAGACCATCTTGTCATTCAGTACATTCCCCTGAATCCCACATCATTTTGAAGCTTCCCAACTTAGGAAACTGTCCAAATAAATAAACATTAAAGTTTCATTTCATACCTGACATTGTCACGGAAGTGAATAGGAGTAAAGGGATAGGATCTGGATAAAGAGATGAGATAAAGGCTTGTTGGGTTTCTCAAGAAAAGTCACGTGTGCACAGGATCAGAGATACTGGACACTGAGGAAATTTTGTTTACTCATCTCCATGGAAACCTTAAGATTCCATCAGGTGCAGATTGGCTGAGAAGGAGAATGATGTCATGAGACAGGTAAAAGCCAGTAATAGATTCAGGAGCCATGTATTAAAAGAGACAAGTAGACACCCTGCTTGAGAGAAAGGCTGAGCAGCCCTACATGCTTCAATCTGGGCAGCTGAAAGAACACAACCCACAGTTCCTGTTTCCAAGACTCTTAGTTCAGGGACAGTGTCATATATTTCTTTCAATTGGTCATTAATAGAGTGACTTTCACATTAGTATCTGTTAAATGCACTGATATGCCCTTACTCAGTGAATTACTTACTGTGAAAATACCTCATGACCAAGACAACTCTGAACAAAAAGGATTTATTTTTTTTTTTTTTTTTTTTTTTTTTATTTTTTCTTTTTAGTTACATTTTCTTAACTCCGTGTCCCAGCTGTATCCCGCTCCCTCATTCCCTCCCCAACCCCACACTCCCTCCCTGGTCTCCTCCCTGCCCCTTTCCAAGTCCCCTGATAGGGGAGGACCTCCTCCCCTTTCATCTGTCCCTGTTTTATCAGGTATCTTCAGGGCTGGCTGCAAAGTCCTCCTCTGTGGCCTAACAGACTGCTCCTCCCCTGGGGGGAGGTGTCAAACAGCCTGCCCTTGAGATCCTGTTAGAAATAGTCCGTGTCCCCCTTATTTTGGAAAACTACTTGGTTACTGAGCTACCACAGGCCACATCCGAGCAGAAGTTCTAGGTTATATCCATAGATGGTCCTTGGTTGAGTTTCAGTCTCAGAAAAGACCCTGTGCCCAGATATATTTGGTCCTTGTAGAGCTCCTATCCTTTCCATATCATACTAACTTCCCTTCTTTCATATGATTCCCTGCACTCTGCCGAGGGTTTGGTTATGAGTCTTAGTGTCTGCTTTGAAACACTGCTAGGTAGAGTCTTTCAGATGCCTTTTGTGGTAGACTCCTGTCATAAGTTCAAGGCACATCCCATTTGTCTTTCTAAATGAGGATTAATCACCTTCGCCTGTGTCCACTTTCTTGATTATCTTCTTTAGGTGTGTAGATTTCATTATGTTTATCATGTCTTGTAGGTCTATATAAGCGAGTATATACCAAGTTTGTCTTTCTCCTTCTGGGATACTTCACTCAGAATGATCTTTTCTAGATCCCACCACTTGCCTGCAAATTTCATGATTTCCTCCTTTTTGATTGCTGAGTAGTATTCCATTGTGTAAAAATACCACAATTTCTGTATCCATTCCTCCGTTGATGGACATCTGGGTTGTTTCCAAGTTCTGGCTATTACAAATAAAGCTGCTACGAACATGGTTGAACAAATGTCCTTGTTGTGTACTTGAGCAAATTTTGGGTATATACCTAGGAGTGGTATAGCTGGGTCTTGAGGTAGCACTACTCCTAGTTGTCTGAGAAAGCGCCAGATTGACTTCCAGAGTGGTTGAACCAGTTTACATTCCCACCAGCAATGGAGGAGGGTTCCCTTTTCTCCACAACCTCTCCAGCATGTGCTATCACTTGAGTTTTTCATCTTGGCCATTCTGATGGGTGTAAGGTGAAATCTCAGGGTCGTTTTGATTTGCATTTCCCTAATGGCTAATGAGGTTGAGCATTTCTTTAAGTGTTTCTCTGCCATTCGATGTTCCTCTTTCGAGAATTCTCTGTTTAGCTCTGTTCCCCATTTTTTAAGTGGATTACTTGGTTTGTTGCTTTTCTGCTTCTTTAGTTCTTTATATATACTTGATATTAGCCCTCTGTCAGATAAAGGGTTGGTGAAGATTCTTTCCCAATCTGTAGGCTGTCTATTTGTTTTGATGACAGTGTCTTTTGCTTTACAGAAGCTTTTCAGTTTCATGAGGTCCCATTTATTGATTGTTGCTCTTAGAGCCTGTGCTGTTGGTGTTCTGTTCAGGAAGTTGTCTCCTGTGCCAATGAGTTCTAGGCTGTTTCCCACTTTTTTTTCCAGCTGATGTAGAGTATCTGGTTTTATGTTGAGGTCCTTGATCCACTTGGACTTTAGTTTTGTGCAGGGTGATAAATATGGGTCTATTTTCATTTTTCTGCATGTAGACATCCAGTTGGTCCAGCACCATTTGTTGAAGATGCTGTCTTTTTTCCATTGAATGGATTTGGCTTCTTTGTCAAATATTGAGTATTCATAGGTGTGTGGGTTTATTTCTGGGTCTTCTATGCGATTCCATTGATCCTCCTTTCTGTTTCTATGCCAATACCATGCAGTTTTTATTACTGTTGCCCTGTAGTACAGCTTGAGATCGGGAATGGAGATACCTCCAGATGATCTGTTGTTGTACAGAATTGTTTTGGAGATTCTGGGTTTTTTGTTTCTCCATATGAAGCTGAGAATCTTTTTTTCAAGGTCTGTAAAGAATTGAGTTGGTATTTTGATGGGAATTGCATTGAATCTGTAAATTGCTTTTGGCAGGATGGCCATTTTCACAATGTTAATCCTACCAATCCATGAGCACGGGAGATCTTTCCATCTTCTGAGATCTTCTTCAATTTCTTTCTTCAAAGACTTGAAGTTTTTCTCAAACAGGTCTTTCACTTGCTTGGTTAGAGTCACACCAAGGTACTTTATGTTATTAGTGGCTATTGTGAAGGGTGTTGTTTCCCTAATTTCTTTCTCGGCCTTTTTGTCTTTGGTATACAAGAGGGCTTCTGATTTTTTTGAGTTGATTTTGTATCCTGCCACTTTGCTGAAGGTGTTTATCAGCTGAAGAAGTTCTCTGGTTGAATCTTTGGGTTCGCTCATGTATACTATCATATCATCTGCAAATAGTGACACTTTGACCTCTTCCTTTCCGATTTGTATCCCCTTGATCTCCTTTAGTTGTCTTATTGCTCTGGCTAGGACTTCAAGTACAATGTTAAAGAGATATGGAGAGAGTGGGCAGCCTTGTCTTGTCCCTGATTTCAGTGGGATTGCTTTAAGTTTCTCTCCATTGAGTTTGATGTTGGCTATAGGCTTGCTGTATATTGCCTTTACTATCTTTAGGTATGTGCCTTGTATCCCTGATCTCTCCAAGACTTTAAACATAAATGGGTGTTGGACTTTGTCAAATGCTTTTTCAGCATCTAAGGAGATGATCATGTGGTTTTTCTCCTTCATTTTGTTTATGTGGTGGATTACATTGATGGATTTCCGTATGTTGAACCACCCTTGCATTCCTGGGATGAAGCCTACTTGATCATGGTGGATGATATCTTTGATGTGTTCTTGGATTCGGTTTGCAAGTATTTTATTGAGTATTTTTGCATCAATGTTCATAAGAGAGATAGGTCTGAAGTTCTCTTTTTTGGTTGGATCTTTGTGTGGTTTAGGTATCAAAGTGACTGTGGCTTCATAGAATGAGTTTGGTAGTGTTCCTTCTGTTTCTATTTTATGGAATAGTTTGAGGAGAATTGGTGTTAGTACTTCTTTGAAGGTCTTGTAGAATTCTGCGCTGAAGCCATCTGGTCCAGGGCTTTTTTTGGAGGGGAGACTGTTAATGACTGCTTCAATTTCCTTGGGAGATATAGGGCTATTCAGTCTTTCTACCTGATCTTGACTTAATTTTGGTAGATGGAATCTGTCAAGAAAGTTATCCATTTCATTTAGATTTTCAAATTTTGTGCCATATAGGCTTTTGTAGTATGACCTAATAATCGTTTGGATTTCGTCAGTGTCTGTAGTTATGTCCCCATTTTCCTTTCTGATTTTGCTGATTTGTATGGTTTCTCTCTGCTTTTTAGTTAGTTTGGCTAAGGGTTTGTCTATCTTGTTGATTTTCTCAAAGAACCAGCTTTTTGTTTCATTGATTCTTTGGATAATTTTATTTGTTTCTAATTGATTGATTTCTGCCCTTAGTTTGATTATTTCCAGCCGTCTGCTCCTCTTGGGTGTATCTGCTTCTTTTTTTTCTAGGTTTTTCAGTTGGGCCATTAAGTTGTTTGTATGTGATGTTACGGATTTCTTCTTGTAGGCACTTAGTGCTATAAATTTTCCTCTGAGCACTGCTTTCAATGTGTCCCATAAATTTGGGTATGTTGTGCCTTCATTTTCATTGAATTCTAGAAAGTCTTTAATTTCTTTCTTTATTTCTTCCTTGACCCAGCTGTCATTGAGTAGTAAGTTGTTCAGTTTCCATGTGCGTGTCGGCTTTTTGTTGTTTCTGTTGTTGTTGATGTCCAGCTTTAGTCCATGGTGGTCAGATAGTATACAAGGGATTATTTCAATCCTTTTGTATCTGTTGAGGCTTGCTTTGTGACCAACTATATGGTCTATTTTGGAGAAGGTTCCGTGTGGTGCTGAAAAGAAGGTGTACTCTTTTGAGTTTGGGTGAAAAGATCTGTAGACATCTATTAGGTCCATTTGATTTAGGGATTCTGTGAGTGCTTTTATTTCCCTATTTGGTGTCTGTCTGGTTGATCTGTCCCTTGATGAGAGTGGGGTGTTGAAGTCTCCCACTATTAAGGTATTAGGATCAATGTATGATTTAAGCTTTAATATTGTTTCATTTACGAATGTAGGTGCTCTTGTATTTGGGGCATAGATATTCAAAATTGTGATGTCCTCTTGTTGGATTTTTCCTTTGATGAGAATATAGTGGCCCTCCTTATCTTTTTTGATTAACTTGGGTTGAAAGTCTATTTTATTAGATATTAGGATGGCTACTCCAGCTTGTTTTCTGGAACCATTTGCTTGAAAAACATTTTTCCAGCCCTTTACTCTGAGGTAGTGTTTATCTTTGTTGCATAGGTGTGTTTCTTGGATGCAACAGAATGTTGGGTCCTGTTTCCGTAACCATTCTGTTAGCCTGTGTCTTTTTATTGGTGAGTTGAGTCCATTAA